TCATTTTCAATCAATATTTTCTCTCTACTTTCTCTCACCCTCTCATCTCTCTCTCCATAATCGGGCCGTCGAACTGCCCTTCTCTCTCCACAACGTCGATGGCAGCGTTCATGACATCTCCCACTCTAACTCTCTCCCTCGTCTCTCTACTCTGACGCTGCCTGTAACAGCGTCGCGCGACGATGCCATTCGCGGGGCCATGTGACGTTCACAGTTGCCATTCGCGGGATGTGTGCAGCCAGTGTGTGTGCTGTGAACGGCAGCCGGCGGAGTGGAGTTGTGGTGATGGTGTTGCGTCGGGGTGCGATGGTGGTGTTGATGCTGGTTGTAGTGGTGTGTCGACTGCAGATGTGGTGTGTGGTGTGTTCAGATCTGGTTGGTGGTGGTGTTGATAGTCTGTGGTTGAATGCTGCGGTGGTGGTGGGTGTGTGTGTGTGTGTGGGTGCGGTGCGTTGGTATTGGTGGCGTGGGTGTGTGGTTTTTGACCAGTCGTGGAGTGTGTGGTGGGTTGGTATGTTCAAATCTCATTTGATGGTGGTGCTGATAGTGGTGATGTTGTGTTTGTGGTGTTGTATTGTTATTGTTGGTGGTGGTGGTGGTTGTGGTTGTGGCAGTGGCAACGAGATGAAGAGTGTTTGTGATTTTGGTTTTGTGACTAAAAATATAATTTGTGACCTTAAAATTCAGTAATCTGTGACCAACCATTTTTTTTATCTATGGCCTAAAAATTATATAATCTGTGACCGTAAAAAGATCTGTGACTGTGTGACCTATAAATTTTGATGTGTGACCAACTAATTTTGAAATTTGTGACCAACGAATTAATTGTGACCTATAAAATTTTTGAACTCTGACCGTAAATTGTAAATTTGTGACCAGAATGGACAACGGAATAGTCGCCGAAATAATTGTCAGAATCGAAGCAGTCGCCAGAACAATCGTCAAAACGGTCACAGGAGAAGAGTGGTGGTCGGAATGATCGCCGGAATAGTTCCCGGAGCGGTATGGGTGGTGCGTGTGGGATGAGTTAATTATATTATATTAGAATTAAATATTTAATAATAAATTGATTTAATAATTTATTATTTCATAAATAAAAATTTTTTAAAAAAAACCTGATTTTTGAATTTTCAAACTATAAACCTGATTTTTGAATTGGTGTAAAGTATACACCTTATTTATGAATTTTTCCCTTAAATGAGGGGAAGATTTTATAAATAAGAGGTTTAATTTTACCAGTTTCAAATTTAAGAGATTATGTTTAAAATTTCAAGTTTTAGAGTTTTTTAAATTTTATTTATAAATTAATTAATTAAACATATATTTTAATAATTAAATATATTAAGGTCACAATTCCATATAATTTCGTCACAAATTCCATATAATTGATCACA